CAGGGGGCCATCACCATGAGAACTTGTGGAGCCGAAAGCAGTCACGTGACAGCACCGCAACTGCCAGCCATTCCTATTGGTCCAAATAAAATAGGCCGTCCTGGTAAGAAGCCAATGGATTTAGACATTGGTGGAAATTGTAGAGATTGGGGCTGGTTCATTGGTTCAATGTTGCTGCTTCTGGTCTGATCGGTATCAGGTTAGTGCAGGTTGGGTGTATAAAAGGAGCTGGGTGGGGCTTGGTCGGGATGGTTGAGTTGTTTGGGATCATGGGGGATTTTGTAGTGAGGAATTTGTTTCCTGTGCTGGTGTTAGTTGGAGCTGTTTGTTGCTTTGAAACTTGGCAACAGCTACTGAGCCAGAGGTTTCCATGGAGAATAGTGAGAGCCACCCCTGTGCTTGAGAGAGTCCCTCCTCATGGGTCTCCCATTGGTTCCAGTTTCAGAATGTCTGAGGGTGGGAGTGTGTCTCCACTGCAGACTGTGATGGTACAGTGTGGAGAGCACAACCTGCTGGTCAGGGCACAGTTGGATTTATTTGGAACCAGGCACCTGATTAAAGCTGCTGACCTGACCCTGGGGACAGCAGGTTGTCGGCCAACCAGGATCGACCCTGAGAACCACACTGTCCTCTTTGACTATGGCCTGCATGAGTGTGGTAGCAGCTTGCAGGTAATGGGAGTCCTCCATAGTTGCTGGAAGCTTGGGCGGTACCCTGTTCCTTCCTGTAACCCTGGCTCCAATGCTGTTGATATTGGGGTGTACTTTCTCCTGCTGTCAAACTGAGATTCTGTCTTTTCTGGATTAGACTGTGGCTGAAGTGGTCTTGCTGGTCCCAAACCTCTCCTGTTGTCCCCATGGTCTGGAGATTATTTCTGGTTCTCCTGAACTTGATTAGCTTTCAATGTCTGAGGCTTGTTTCTCAACAGTCAGCTCATTTGTCTTCCCTCATCCCCATCCCTTGGGATTGACACTTCTAAACAAAATGAGGTTAATATTGAGGTGCCTTGGTCTTGAGGAGCTCCAGTCTTCCCACTTTCCTTGCCATTGGAATAACTGGGCTCCTGGGATAAGTGTTCTGTTTCTGTATTATTAGATTACCTCTTGTTCTGTTTACTGAAACTGATCTTATGGAGTCACTTTGTGGATTAGTTTGGTCTTGTACTCACAATATGCTAAAATGTTGGAGGTTTGCTGATTACTGCGGAAACCAAAATGTGCCTGTCATGTCTCATTCTGAGAGAATCAGGACCATGTTCCTGTTCCCTCAGTGATTCTACTGTTTTTTTTCTTCCAAAACACATTTGTCCGTTACAACAAACGTGCATTTCCACTCCAAATGAATTCCCTATCTGATCACTGCTGACCTGTAGAATGATGCAGTACCTTGTTAAATTGGTCCAAAATGACTAACCGCTGAACTGTGTCCTATTGTCCCTAAAACTGGTCTCTCAGGCTCTGTGAGCAAACAGGAACTTGGCATTGAGCCTGTCAAGCTCCCGAAGGAATTGTGGAAATGGGATGATGTCCTTATGAATGTTGCGTAGAACCTTCATTTCAAATCGGTTCCCCATTCCTTAACCTGGTGTCTTTCAGATGACTGGAGATTTCCTGATCTACACCACCCACCTGACCCACATCCCAAACTATGCTGGATCTGTCATTGTGAGAACCAACGGAGCTGTCATTCCCATTGTGTGTCGTTATTTGAGGTGAGAATCTTTCCTTGGTTGTCAACGTTATCTACAGCTCCTGCTGTTGTCTGACACTGTCCTGAAATGGCTGTGCTGCCTCTCCCCAGGAAGGGCAATGTGAGCAGTAACCCCATCAAACCCACCTGGATCCCATTCAGCTCCACCAGGTCTGGAGAAGGGCATCTGGCATTCTCCCTGCGTCTAATGAATGGTATGTGATGGGTGGCTGGGGAGGGATCTC